TGTGAATGAGCATCAGTCGTACGAGCGCGTCTCTGCGCATGAGCCTGGGGCCTCCTGGGGCCTCCTGGAACCTACTGGGGCTTCCTGGGGCCCCCAGGAGCCTATTGGGGCCTCCTGGGTCCTCCTGGTACCTCCTAGGGAGGATTCGTGCCCCAGGAAAGGCCTAACCTATAGCAACAGACGTACATAAAACATTGCGGATTGGAGCCGCAGGGCAATCTATTGGAACACACGTAAAACACCAAGGACTCCTGTCCCAGGAGAGGCCCAACATGTAGGAACATCAATGAAATATTTAGGATTGTGCACGCAGGAGAAGGACAATATATAGAAACATACGTATGATATCCAGGATTCGTGCTCATGAGGCCTCCTGCTCCTGGGGCCTCTCGGGGCCTCCTGTTGCCTTCGGGGGCCTCCTGGCGCTTCCTGTGGCCTCCTGGGGCTTCCTGAGGCCTCCTGGAGCTTCCTGGGGCCTCCTGGAGCCTCTTGGGGCATCCTGTGGCCTCTTGAGTCTTTCTGTGGCCTCCTGATGCCTCCTGGGACCTCATGTGGCCTCCTGGAGCCTCCTGGAGCCTGTTGGAGCCTCCTGTGGCATCCGGAGGAGAATATGTGCATACGAGTCTGGCCACCAAAACAAGCAGACCGATCGAGACATCCTCAAAATCAGGCCCACCTGGGGGATGAAAATGAGCGCCTCGCTCGAGACATCCTCCAAAGCTGCTCCGAAAGCGGAGGATGTTGAGGACCCAAACAGGCAAACCGCTCGAGACATCCCCGACATTTTGGCGCGAACGGAGGCCGTGCAATACCCCTGGCGACCCGCCCTCAGGAGGCGCCTCGCACGAGACATCCTTCGAATCTGCTCCAAACACGGAGGATGTTGCGGACCAAAACAGGCAAACCGCCTGCGACATCCCCGCCATGTGGGCGCGAACGGAGGCCGTGCAATACCCCTGGCGCCCCCCCCCCCCTAGGAGTGCAAAAACCAGCAAACCGCTCGAGACATCCTCATCATCTGCTCATCATCTGCTCATCATCTGCTCATCATCATCATCATCATCATCATCATCATCATCATCATCATCATCATCATCAGCATCAGCATCATCATCATCATCATCAGCAGCAGCAGCAGCAGCAGCAGCAGCAGCATCAGCATCAGCATCATCATACTCATCCATCATGCACCATCACCACCGTACTCACCACATACTCTCACCATACTATGGTCATCATCATGACAATCATCATCATTGTCTAGTGCAGAGAGGGAGGAGGGGAGGGGCAGAGAGGGAGGAGGGGATGGGTGGTCCGGCGCGGTCGGAGAATGACAAAAAAAACATCCTTTGGATATGGGAAGAAAAAACAAAACACTCAGAAACAAGTCGTCCCCTGACTATTTTTCGACCATTTCTGAAGATTCCTGCTGTGGAGGGACAGGCCCGACTTAACCCTAGCTCAAGCCGCTGGTGGCCTTCACACCGGGGTCTCCGCTGCGCCGACGCGGGGCGAACCCGTCGCACACCGTGTCCCCTCGAGGCCGTCCGCGCCCGAAGGGCAGGGCAGCGGGGTCTACCGGTCGACCTCCGACGACGCGACTATTTGTTCAGTGCGTCGCCTCCGCGTGGCCCTCGACCCTTGTCGGCTGCACGTAGAAGGAGGAGGAGGAGGAGGAGGAGGAGGACGACGAGGAGGAGGAGGAGGAGGAGAGTGATCAGCAGGCAACAGTGACCTTTGCTGTGCGGCTTGCCGATCGTGACGCGCAGGGTACGGCAGTAGCCGCCTGCGTGCTTGGGCTGGGCTGCCCCGCGCCCCCCGACAAAGGTCACACCGGCGAAGGGCCACTCCCCCTCGCCCTTCTCCTCCCCCCCTCCTTCTCCTCGTCCTCCTCCTCCTCATCCTCCTCCTTCCTCCTCATCCCTCCTCCTCCCCTTCCCCCCTCCTCCCCCCTCCCTCCTCCTCCTCCTCCTCCTCGTCCTCCTCCTCCTCCTCCTCCTCCTCCTCCTCCCCCTCCTCCTCCTCCTCCTCCTCCCCCTCCTCCTCCTCCAGGCCCACTCTTGCGTACAGCCGACCCTGCCCCTGGGCTACGGTGGCATCCCGACCCGACCTCTGCCCGCCCCGCCGGGTGCCCTCGGGAGAAAAACCCGGGCCGAGGATGTGAGCCTATTAGCCGGGCGCGACGAGCTGTGGGCTCTCCCGGTGGGTCGATGTGCAGCTGGTCCGCTGGGCTCGCGCGGCAGCGGGCGACCCGACCGCGCGGAGGACGCCGAGGCTGCTGGCAAGCCCCAGGGCCGCAGGCGCCCCGTCCAGAAGGGGGCGCTGCCGGGCCGGGACGGGGCGACCCGCAGAGCTGGGGCGCCAGGGCGGCGACGACCGCTGGCCGCGCGCGTCTGCTGGCAGGGCCTCCCCGCTCCCCTCGAATCTGGGCCTGGCCTTGCATTTTGCTCACACGGGGCGACCTCGCCCGATCTCTGGCCGGGGACTTGGAGGACGCTGGGCTGCGAGGAAGCGTTGTTTCTGGGGCCAGATCCCAATACGCTCGGCCCACGCGCTTGATCCGTCAATAGCAATCCTTACGACCCCCGTGCGCAAGAAGCTCGGATAGGTTTGCTTGTACCGGCGGTTGCTGCTCAGGTTTGCTCTGATCCTACACAGTTCACAACCACACGATATCAATTAGACTCTCATCTCTCCCCTGATCACGTCCGAAAGCTGTTCGGTCCCCCTTCGCGTACAGTTCGTTGATGCACACAAGATTCCCGGGAGTTGGGTTTCCGCTTGGGTTATTTGTCAAAATGCTTCTCCCGCTGAAGCGCTGGCCTCATTTTCGGGCTTCCGCTCGTTCCGAATCGTGCTCCCGCTGCAGCGCTGGCCTCGTTTCCGCGCTTCCGCTCGTTCCGAATCGTGCTCCCGCTGCAGCGCTGGCGTCATCATTTCCAATGCCATGCCACGGCATGCAATGCATTGCCATGTGGTGTTCCGCTGTGCGATGCTATGCCTTCAGCTTGACTACGCAATGCCACGCAATGCTACGCCATACTACGCTTTGCTTTGATCTTCAACGCCATGCTATGCATATATGCCATGCTCTGCTCTGCGCCGCTGTGCAATGCCATTATTTGCGTTGCAATGCTTTGCGATGCAATTATTCACTACGCAACGCCGCGCCATGCTATGTCACACTACGCTCTGCCGTGCGTTTCTACGCCATGCTATGCAGTGCTCTGCGATGCATCGCGCACCTTCTCGGGATCATTGCCATGCTCAACATCCGACTGTGCGAATAGAGACGAGATCCACATCATGGTACGGGATGAGGGGGGAGGGGTAGGACGTCAGATATGACGCGAGCGAACCTACGTAGCTTGGAACATGCCCCCCTCCCCCGTCGTGGCCCCAGAAATACAGATGGCGTTCACTGCCCCCCAGCGAGCTTCAAACCGGGACCCTCACTCACCGAACGGGCTCGAAAAGTGGGTCCGACAGGAGATTTTCAGCGAGGACGCAATCACTGCGCAACGTCAGCTCTGAGCGTCCACCCCCCCCAACTTTATCTCGACCCCCTCATTCCCCCGAGCCGCTTGTCGCTCCGAGCCGCCTCTCGACAGCATCGGGGCCAGCAGAAGCCTCCAGAGGCCGAGAATGGCGAACAAGATGAGCGTTTTTTTTTATTGGCGTTTCGACACTGGGCTCAAGTCGGGCGTGCCCCCCTACAGGGGGATTTTCGACGAAAAATAAAATTACTCAAAGCATGCTCTTAAATGGTCTAAACAATACCTTAAACATAGTCCCTGGACTATTTTATTTCTATGTTCAAGTATTCCTCCTGTAGAGGGGGGGCGGGTCTGGCTCCGGACCTCTGCTCAGTGCGACTGCTTGCAGCAGGGCGGCCGATGGGGGAGGGACCCCGCCTGCCCGAAACAGGCGCCAAAAACAGCCAAGATCTACTCCATGAGGGGGGGGGGGGATGGGTCCGAGGGCCCGCGCCGATCGGCAAAACCATGCATAAAAAAACGCTTACACGGGGCCGCCGCAATCCTTGATCTGTTTGTTCCTGGCGACGCGCTGCTCTGGAGGCCCTGGGGCTGGCCCCTCCCCCTCCCAGGCGGGCGGCTGCTGCGCGCCTCCTCCCTCGCAGAGTGCGCGAAGGCCGAGCGGGGCGGGCGACGAGGACGAGGACAAGGACGAGGACGACGACCCTGAGATCTGGCGACGCGAAAATCGGGGGCGGAGCCCCAGACCACCACCCTTCAGTTGCTTCTGCTCGAGCCCGGTCGACATGCGAGGGCCCTGGGGCGCGGGACCCCGGGAGAAGAAACGCCAGGCCCGAGCAGAGCTGCGAAGGCTTGGATCTCAGATGGGGACGGCGGCGGCGGCAACGACGCAGACAGGGACAGCGACGATCGTGGAGACGTAAGACTCGGGTGCGGGGGGCTCAGGTTGGCCTGACGGGGCCATCATGGAAATGACGAGACCCAATCTGAACTTTGACGCACGCTCCCGCCGAAAACATCCCACGGAAGCCGGACCTGCCAAAATCCAGGACGCGCTCGTCAAGAGACGTCGGCAGAGTTAGAACAAAAATAAACGGCTGGACCTGCGCTGGAGCCCACTGCCTGGCGCGCGGAGCGCGCCGGGGGCGGCGCCGGAGGCGCGGCGCGGGCCCGCGGGGGGGGCCCAGCGCGGAGATCCAAGAAATCCGCGCGGAGCGTCACAAGTTTCTGTCAGAGTGCTCCTTCGAGCAGACGGCGCCGGCGGCGACCACGACGCACCGAGACCCCCGACGTCATGATGCTTCATGGCGTCGACCCCCAGGGGTCTCGACCCCTTCCCCGGGACCGGTTTGTCTTGTTCTGAGCCGTTCTTGGACGGTCCCGAGGCCCGGCAAGGGCCCCCAGAAGCCGAAAACAGCAGAAGACCTCCCGTCATGATCCTTTCCCTGCCCGAGGGGGTCTGGGGCGACCACGACGCAGGGCGACGGGAGGGCGGCCGCGCGCCTCCTCCCCCGCAAATGGCGCGAAGGCCGCGGTATCGGGCGGCCCGCGGCACCTCCCCGGAGGGCCGCCGAGCCGCACCTTCCCACAGGCGGGGGGGGGGGTGCGGTCGCGCTCGCCGCCGCCGCCGCCGCCGCCGCCGCCGCCGCCGCCGCCGTCGTCGTCGTCGTCGTCGTCGTCGTCGTCGTCGTCGTCGTCGTCGTCGTCGTCGTCGTCGTCGTCGTCGTCGTCGTCGTCGTCGTCGTCGAGGCCGCCGTCGCTCCCCCCTGAGATCCTGGCGTCTTCCCTCGCCTTTTTCTCGGCCCCGGGACCCCCACAGCTCGATCCGGCTCGAAGAGCGATGCAGTAGGACGTGCTCTGGGGCTCTGGGCGCGACTTTCTACGGTGCTGCTGTTTTCTCGCAGCGTCGGGTCACAGGGCCAGGTAAGACGAAGGCAGGGCAAGGACAACGCCAGGCCAGGACACATCGGGGGTCTCTGAGATCTGGACGGGGATCTGGGGGATGGATCGGGCGCCGCGGCCTTCCCAGAGCGTTCTGCAACGCCCTGGAAGCGCTCCGGAACGCTCTGGAACGATGTACTCATGTCTTGGCCCCGCCCGGCCAGACCCCCTAGCGTCGTCCCGTCCCCCGAAATCCGGGCGTTTTCCCATTTTTCAGCACAGGGCGTGTGCGCATGCTGTCGGGGCCCTGACCCTCACAGATCGATTTGGCTCGAGAAATGGATCAGAAAGATGAACCCTTCGTGTCGTGGCAGACACCGCGGCGCAAGATATTTCGTTGTGTCCATCCCCTGGGGACCTTCACCAAGACTCGGGACCGTCCGACAGCATCGGGCACGCACCAACCCGGGTCAGCTCTAACCTGAGATGAACTGCGTGCATTGGGAAGTCGAACCTGCTTCCAACAACAAAAACTGCGTGTTCTGGTGGTTTGGGGAAGCAGGTTCGTCTTCCCAATACACGCAATTCATCTCAGGTTGGTCAAGGCCCTGTCGCCAGACCTGGCCGGCCGCCTAGCAGCTCTCTCCACACGGGCCTGCGGAGGGCGTGGAACGGGGGAATCGGACCCGCGTGGCTCCCAAACCTGGCGTCGGCCAGAGGGGATTATTCGCTGACTCCTGTCGGCGCTTACCCCTGTACCGGAGCACCGAGCCGAAAACAACTCCGAAAGGAAAGCTGGCCTTCAGGAGAGGATCCACACCTGGGGATCCGGCGTTGCGGAACAAAAACACCATCGCCAACAAAAATGATGGGCATGTTTTCCACCACCACCACCACCATAAGTTGGAGGGGGGGATGAGGTGGAGAACGAGTAGGAGGAAGACGAGGAGGAGGAGGAGGAGGAGGAGAAGGAGGAGGAGGAGGAGGAGGAGGAGGAGAAGGACCCCCCCTATATAACTTATGATGGTGGTGGTGGTGGAAAAAAACATCAAAAAACACGACCTGAGGCCTCGGCCCCATCTTTCTGCGCTGTGTTCTGAGGGTCCCCAGGGACCGAGGGCGAGCGGAGACGCTGAGTGTGACGGAACTGTAACGTCCGGGCCTGAGGATCCAGACCTCTCAGGATGAGAAAGCCGGCCTCTGGCAAGGGGTCCAACATCTCTGGGTCGGGTGTGTCCCAGAGGCGGGCGTCCAAGAGGGGGATTCGCCATCACGGCCCGAGGCATGTGCGCGGACGATGCGGGGCCAGGGAACGCATCGAACGAAGAAGCGGGGGCCGTGAAGTCGTGGGAGATACCATAGCCCCGGCCATGATATCCCCCCCCTCGATGATCCTCATGCAGTGCATGTTAGCGCCATAGTGCGCTTGTCGGCCGAAGCAGTTTCCATACGACGCAGAAGGTGCAATGAGTGCCGACGTATGCTCGGTGGTATCGGCGGAGCCAGACGAGGGTCACCCCCCATGCTGATGCTGCCTGCATGCTGATGCTACCTCTCATGCTGATGCTGCTCAAGATGCCCCCCGTAGTGATGGTGCTGATGTTGCTAGATGCCCCCCTGCTGATGCTGCCCTGGACGTGCTCCACTTCTCGCCGCGTCTCTGCGCTCGTCGTCTCGTCTGCGTACTCGTGTTCTCCGATGGCAGTAATTAGCATCATGTCGACGTAATCGTCCTGATGATAATCGACTCGTCTTAGGTCGGCATGTCCTCCTACAGCAGGATTTGGAAGAAACGCTTGAACAAATAATCAAATAATGCTCTGAATTAGTCAACAGATAATCGAAACATCGTCCCCAAACTATTTTAAACTATTTCTTATAGAGGGACATGCCCGGCATATAAAGACTGGTCATGGCCCCCTCTGGAACTCCGCCGCGGTGGCGCCAGAGGCGGGCGTGCCCCGAGAGAGGGCGGCGGGGGCGTCGCCAGCCCAGGGCGCCAGGCCGAGGGAGCACTGCTTTGGGTGACTGAAGAGGGGGTCCAGCTGAAAGGGGGTGGTGCAAAAAATTTGGGGCAACTGCGTTGCAAATGTATTGCGCTGGAGAATTGTATTGCATTGTACTGCAAGTAATGCATGGCACGCGAAAATCCAGCAATATATTTGCGCCCCGGAATGTATGGCACACCCCAGATTCACTGCAACCCCACAAATCTATTGCACCAAATCTATTGCACCACCCCCTTGTCGCTGGACCCCCTTTTGGGTCAACCCGAACTGCGCGCCCTGCGGCGGGCACACGTCGCACAAGCGGCGGCGGCGTCGAGGATCGAGGCTCGAGGATCCGGGCCCAGACGTGCTGGCGTCGTGTGAAAATCTCAGGACGGGAGGTCCTTCGCCGTCTTCGGCCTCTGGGGGCTCTCTCGCCAGGCCCCAGAGGAGCGTCAGGAAGCGACGCGGGATGAAGAGCTGGTCCCGGGACTTCCTGGAACACATGCCTGGGGGTGCAACATTTCGGGGCGCTCTGGGCGGCCGCAAGCAGCGTCGGGGGGCCAGGCCACCGCGCTCGCCGCCGCCGCCCGTCGTCGGGGTCGCCGTCGCCGTCGTGGTGAACGTCGTGCTCGCCGCCGCAGCCGCCGCGGTCGTCAACGCCGTCGTCGCGGGCGCGGCACCTCGCGGCGTCTCCCTGTTTTCAGGTCCAGGCTTTCTGCACTGTTTCCACGCCGCGCGATTTCCACAAGTCGATCCGGCTCGAAGACTATGGGTCTGGAGCGCCGGCGGTGATTTCTGCGATGGCTGCAGGCTTCCTGCAGTGCGAAGCACAGAGACTTTATGTCCTCCTAGTATACCATTCCGTAGTACATCGTTTCTCGAGCGGTGTGGCCAGAAAGCGCCCGCCACGACGCATATACTATAACATTTCTCGGTGCGCGCGTCGCCCCTGGGGGGGCGACGCACATATAGTGCAAGTTTGCTGGGATGACGCCGATGCAGCGCCACATCTGGAGAGGTCGCAGCGTCTCCCTGGCCGGTCCAAGAGGGCACCCGCGCGCCGGCCCTCTGGCCCGGGGCGCGCCCGGCCGGGGCCAGCGTGCTGATGCAGAGCTTGTTCCGCGCTCGCCAACGGATGCCACCCAGGCGTCGCCTTAAGTCGGGCATGTCCCCCTACAGACGGATTTTGGACGAAAAATTAAAAATACTATAGATACAGATGTATACATATCCTAACGGGTGCAGTTGCACCTGGTGGTTCGTTGTAGTGCGTGATTCGTATCCGCGGCGTTGTGCGTCGTTACTAGCTTGTTGCGGCTGGGCAGTTGGACAAGGTTGTAGTTGGTAGTGCGTCGTGCATGCTGGGATCTGAGGGATAGGATGGGTAGGAGGGACATATGATATCATGCACAAGGGATATATGATGGATAGGAGGGATGCGAGGGTTAAGAGGGACAGGAGGGATATGCCGGATATGAGGGATACGCCTGAGCAGAGGCATAGGCCTGAGAAGAGGCATGGCAGGGAGAAGAGGGACACACAGAAGGTGCCAGAAGGACAGGATGGATGTATGGGAGGTGCCAGAGGGGCCAGCTCATCAGCGAGGTGCGCAGGTGCGCCCCAGCTCGGAGGGCGCCAACTATACCGGTACTACTATAGGTTTTTGTGCCGTGTCGACTTGTGCAATGTCCACACAGCGAGCGTTCGAGGTTGAACGCCGCCAGCAGCCATTCGTTCAACATTGAACGGCCTGCGCTTTCGGAGAGCCGCGATCGTCAAAGGTTGAACCAGTCGCGCAAAGTCAGAGACCAACGCCGAGGTCGTCACGGCACGAACCTCCCGTACTCCGATCTTGGCCAGGCCCACATAGGGCCCAGGATCTCCTGCCCTGGCAGGGAAACACACACACACACACCAATCCTGGGCCAAGGGCTAGTCTGGCCAGGGCTTCCAACGGCTGGGTCGGTGTTTCCTGGATGGGCGGCGTCCCAGCCGTCGCCAAATAGCGCCCTGGCCTCAACCAAGCACTGCCCCAGCCGTCCCAGAGATCGATACGATCCTTCAACAAGGGCTCCCAACTTCGCGCTTCGCGCTGCGCGAAGCGCGAATAACTTCGCGCTCTCGCGCCGCCCTCCCAAAGGGAGAATAGGAGGACGAGGAGGAGGGGGAGAAGGAACGAGGACCGCGAAGCGCGAAGCGCGAATAACTTCGCGCCCTCGAGGGAGCCCTTGTTCAACGAGTTGCGCCTCGAGGCGAGACCGGACGTGCGATGCCCGGATTTCTTCTACGGTAGGGAGGGCTCCGTGGCTGTAGCTCCTGGTGATCTACAGATTCGCATGGTGACCACTACTAAAAAGCACTGTGCTTTTTTTTATATATATATATATATATATATTTTTTTTTTTTTCAAGGGCCCCTTCCCCCCCCATTGTTCAAGGTTTAGCGCCTGCCACACACGTCGACAAGGTGCTTTTTGGTGCTGTTTTCTACATGGCTCTTGCACTTCATTCACGCATGCGAGCATCGCACTTCAATGGTTCCTGCACTTCTGTGGGCCTCTCGTTCGAGACATCCTCACATGACATGGAGTCCTTTCCCTGGGCTTCCCTCTCTCCACATAGCCGTTTTGGCTCCCAGCGTGCCATTTTGGCATGCCCAGGTGCGACTACTGCAGGTCTCCTTGTGGCTGGCACTCGTTTCCGGGGCTGCAACGCAGCTCTTCCGTGGTAAGTTGCCTCCCTTGCTGGTTCGACCCCGACCACAACTGGGAGTTCGACTACGAGGACGAACCAGTCACGGACTGGCTGTCCGACGAGGAGGACAACAACGGGCTCGGACCCTGCGGGTACGAGGAAGCCAGCGAGAGCGAGGAGAGCAGCTTCGTGCCAGACATCCACATACATACACATCTACATATACCCTATACACAAATGTATAAACATACACTTACACATACTTATAAGTACAAGCAAACATATACGTGCATATACTACACACATCATACATCGTGCACCAGGTGCAAGTGCACCCGCAGGGATACATCTGTGTGTATATATATATGCATATATTCAAAAATTCAGAAAATCGTCCCCATACTATGTTTTGACTATCTTTGCATATTCCTCCTGAGGGACACGCCCGACTCAAGCGTCGCCCGACAAGAGCGGCACCGCCTCCGCAGAATGGCGCGCTCTCAGGGGACGGAGTGGCACGCGCGCGGCGCCACCTTCCGAACAGAGCCCCTGCGGCCAGCAGGGAGGCTCGCGCCCCCCCCCGCCTCGAGCCCAGACATCCGAGGACGTGGTGTCTTCAGGGCGCGGCCCCAAACATCCCTTGCCATTGGGTCGTGCTCCGTCCCGGACCCACTCCTCGAGATCCGCGGGCACGGGAAGTCACGACCCGTCTGCGAGGGCCCCGGGTCCCGAGGAGGAGGAGGAGGAGGAGGAGGAGGAGGAGGAGGAGGAGGAGGAAAGCGGGTGAAAACGCCCGGTATGAGACTCTTAGAAGCTGGTCCTAAGAGGCGCCCCCGAGGCGCCCAAGAGGGCCCGAGGCGCCCAGACGCATCCAAGAGGTGCTCCACTCTCTCGTCGTCCTCGTCGTCGACGCCTTCAGGGTCGGCGGCGCCGGCCGTAAGGCCTTCGCACACCGAGTGTGTTCAAGAACCCCCGGAAGACCCGACATATCCTCGGCGGTGGACAAGCCTCCCTTTAATAGACCACCCTGTAAAAACGGCCCAGGACCGAAACCGACGGACCTGGACCCGCAAAAATGACGGCCGCGACGCCCTGTTGCGAACCGAAAACGGCCAATTCACGAATCGACGTGTCAGGGTGGGGGGCCTGTCCACCCCCGACACCCCCCGGGGCCAGCTTCTCATCCCGAGTCATCTTTGACGGCCCTGGGGCCTGGCGAGGGGGCCCCCATAGTTAGGGGGGCCCTCGCCCTCGCCGACCCCCAGGGAGGCTCCTCCGAGCTCTCGGCCCCTGCAGAGGACGGCAAAGAACACTTATTATTGTTAGCATTAATATTGGGGCTATTTCTATTTTTGCTTAACAAATTACTCACTGCGTGGAGCTCCTCATATGTGCATCTCATGTTTTATGTCATGCCATAGTGAGCGTCTGTTCATGAGCGCTTGACTGTAACAGCGCGTCCACATGGGCGACAGGGCCGACGAAGACGAGTGAATCCTAATGCGAATGAGTGAGTATGAGTCACCCGTATGGCGGCTCCTTTTAAGGGTGCTGAAACCAGCGCCCCGCCTGAGACATCCTCAAAATCTGCTCTGAAAGCTAAGGATGTTTGGCATGGAAACGAGCAAACCGCCTGAGACATCCCTACAAACTGGCCGCGAACGGGCCCGTGCAAACAGCCCTGGCGACCGCTCAGGGGTGCTGAAATCAACGCCCCGCCTGAGACATCCTCCAAATTTGCTATGAAAATCAGGATGTTGGGCATGAAAACGAGCAAACCGCCGGAAACATCCCCACAATCTGGCCGCGACCGGGCCCGTGCAAACACCCCTGGCGGCTCCCCTTAGGGGTGCTGAAACCAGCGTCCCGCCTGAGACATCCTCAGAATCTGCTCTGAAAGCCAAGGATGTTGGACGTGAAAACGAACAAACCGCCTTAAACATCCCCACACACTGGCCGCGAACGGGCCCGTGCAAACACCCCTGGCGGCTCCCTTTAGGGGTGCTGAAACCAGCGCCCCGTCTGAGACATCCTCAAAATCTGTTCTGGAAGCCAAGGATGTTGGACATGAAAACGAACAAACTGGCCGCGAACGGGCCCGTGCAAACACCCCTGGCGGCTCCCCTTAGGGGTGCTGAAACCAGCGCCGAGACATCCTCAAAATCTGCTCTGAAAGCCAAGGATGTCGGGCATGAAAACGAGCAAACCGCCGGAGACATCCCCACAAACTGGCCGCGAACGGGCCTGTGCAAACACCCGTGGCGGCTCCAATTAGGGGTGCTGAAACCAGCGCCCCGCCTGAGACATCTTCAAAATGTCTTATGAAAGCCAAGGGTGGTGGGCATGAAACCGAGCAAACCGCTTGAGACATCCCCACAAACTGGCCGCGAACGGGCCCGTGCAAACACCCCTGGCGGCTCCCCTTAGGGGTGCTGAAACCAGCGCCCTGCCTGAGAAATCCTCAAAATCTGCTCTGAAAGCCAAGGATGTTGGGCATGAAAACGAGCAAACCGCCTGAGACATCCTCACAAACTGGCCGCGAACGGGCCCGTGCAAACACCCCTGGCGGCTCCCCTTAGGGGTGCTGAAACCAGCGCCCCGTCTGAGACATCCTCAAAATCTGCTCTGAAAGCCAAGGATGTTGGGCATGGAAACGAGCAAGCCGCCTGAGACATCCCCACACACTGGCCGCGAACGGGCCCGTGCAAACACCCCTGGCGGCTCCCCTTAGGGGTGCTGAAATCAACGCCCCGCCTGAGAAATCCTCAAAATCTGCTCTGAAAGCCAAGGATGTTGAGCATGAAAACAAGCAAACCGCCTGAGACATACCCACACACTGGCCGCGATCGGGCCCGTGCAAACACCCCTGGCAGCTCCCCTTAGAGGTGCTGAAACCAGCGCCCCGCCTGAGACATCCTCAAAATCTGCTTTGAAAGCCAAGGCTGTTGGGCATGAAAACGAGCAAACCGCCTGAGACATACCCACAAACTGGCCGCGAACGGGCCCGTGCAAACACTCCTGGCGGCTCCCCTTAGTGGTGCTGAAACCAGCGCCCCGCCTGAGACACGCCTGAATATGAGTAAGTCTGTGTATGCGTAAGTCTGTGTATTTGTAGGTCTGGGTATGAGTAAGTCTGAGAATGAGTAGGTCTCAGTATGAGTAAGTCTGTGTGTGAGTAAGTCTGGACATGAGTAAGTCTCGTAGGAGGAGACGAGAAGAGGAGGGGACGAGAAGAGGAAGGAGGAGGAGGAGGAGGAGTAGGAGGCGTCCAAGTAATAACAAGAACCCCATCTTAGGATATGGGGAAAAACTGTCCGCCCTCACCGCTCCACGACGCGAGTGAGCACGGATCTGAGAGCGCGCCCGCTTCCCGAGCGCCGCCTCCGGCCGTGGCCGCGTCGACGAGAGGGCTCTCCCCCGAAGGGCCCACCGGTCGCTGCCTCGACGCTGGCGCGGCTCTGCACGCGGCTTCCCGATGGGGAAGCCGTATGTACGCTTCGCGGGAAGCCGGCGGTGCCATTTCGGAACGCACTCCTGGCACGGTGGCGGTCGGGCCCGAAACTTCATCCTGAGCCGTTCGAGGAGGAGGGGGAGGAGGAGGAGGAGGAGGAGGAGGAGGAGGAGGAGGAGGAGGAGGAGGAGGAGGAGGGAGGAGGAGGAGGAGAGGAGGAAGAGGAGAAGGAGGAGGAGGAGGAGGACGAGGACGACGAGGAGGAGGAGGAGGAGGAGGCGGAGGAGAAGGAGGAGGGGGAGGGGGAGGAGGAGCGGGAGGAGGAGGAGGAGGAGGAGGAGGAAAGGAGGAGGAGGGATGGAAGAGGAGGAGGAGGAGGAGGCAATGGTGGACTGCAGTGGAGGGCCCCGGAGCCCGCAAGTGGAAAAGGCTTCAGTTCGACGGCAACTTATTGGGAGCCTTCCGTGACATCTTGTTGGCCATTGCGGACCGGCGCTGGTCGAAGCTAGCCGACGCCAATCGACGCTGAGTCGACGCTAAGTCGACGCGAGTCGACGCTCATCGACGCAACATCGGCGCTATCTCTCGTCGACTACCAGACGCGAAGCGACGCTAACGCACGCTAAAGACGGAATCGCGAGGGTAGACCAGGCTCCCATGACTCACTGCCGAATCGGAGGGCCCATTTTCCGCAAGAACCTGTTCCTTCACGGGGCGAGAGCAGCGCCCCGACGATGCATCGGCAATGTATCGGCGACGGCGGTGTATCGGCGACGCTGGCGTGGAGACCATCGGGCTCCGCATCGAGCCGCATCGCCGATGCATCGGCGATGCGGCGCAATCCTTAGACCCCCGACCACTCGGACCCCATCTGGGAGGCCTCGACTTTTCCTTCCTGGGCGGCGGCGCCGCCCCAGCCAGCAGTCCCTCTCGCGCAGCCGCCCCACCTCGGCGCGCGCGCGCGTGCGCCTCGGGGAGCGCCACGAACTGCTGCGCCGTCTGCGGGGACAGCAGGCCAGGCAGGCCCCCGGGGATGCCTCGGAGGCCACGGCTGCCGGGCTACCCCTCCATGCTGCCGACAAGCAATGCAAGAACCATGTGGCCGATTTCGGACTCCCTGAACCCAAACAAGTTGCCATGGGGGCGCATCTTTTCCTTCCGCTGGCCTTCCGCCGGCGGAGGCGGCCTTGGTCTAGTTACTTCCGCCGAGGAGGAGATGCGGGACACTTTCTGGGACGCCTCGTGAGCTGTCGTCGTCGTCGTCGTCGACGTCGTCGTCGTCATCGTCGTCGTCGTTGCCACCGCCTCTCTCGCCGCCGCCGACGTCGTGACTAAGGTCGACGACGAGAAAGATTGACGAAGGCGGCGAAGACGGAGATCGACGACAGCGACGACGACAACCGACGACGATATTCATCGTTGTCGCATGATGTCGGTGTCGTCGCGACATCGAATATGCACGACGCCGCCGACGTCGGCGACAACCGAAGCCGGTAAAGACCGACGGCGACTGACGACGACGACGACGACGACGACGACGACGACGACGACGACGACGACGACGGACTGCAACGACGACGGCAGTCAGCGACGACGATGATGCACTGGGGCCGTCTTGGGGCATCGGGGAGGCAGGCTGGAGGCCATAATTATTGAGCCAGCTCGGACCATCTTGTGCAGAGGCTATGTGCCTGCATCGGGGGCAAAAGTGGAGCCGTCCTGGAGCCATGGACCCAGACCCCCTCGGGCAATGAAACAATCATGATGGGAGGTTTTCTGCAATTTTCGGCCTCCTGGGGGGGCCTGACCGGCCCTCGAGACCGTCAAGAACGACCCAGCATGACAAACTGGTCCAGGGGCATGGGTCGAGACCTCCAGGGGTCGACGCTATGAAGAAAACATGTCGAGGGGCCTGGGCGGCTAACCGGTGATGTGCGCCCTGGACCCACGGCCTGACCCTCTCCTCCCCGCCGCTGCGGCTGCGAGCACCATATCGGAAAGCTCAGCGCAGCGAATCGGGTGGCCACCGGCTGTGGCTCTGCCTGTGCAGCTGTCCGGCCCTGCGGCGTCGTGGCTTTTTTTGTATACGGAGGGCCACCAGAGCTTGGCGGCGCGCAAAAGGCGAAGGGAGGGGGAGGGCTCCTTAGAAGGAGGCTGCTTCTCAGAAGGCGCCGGCCTCGCATCTAGAGATAAGGCCCGCGCCTCCTAAGAAGCAGGGGTGCTTCGAAGAAGCCCTCCCCCTCCCCCCGCCCCCTCTGCGCGTGGCTGAAAAGCGCTCTTGCCCACTTCCACAGAACTGGCCTCTCGCCCCAGAGCCACGCTTCACGGCCACCGGGGGCTCGGCGAGGGCCCCCAGGCGCCGAGCACTGCGAGAAAGCGCCGTCTTATAACCCCACGCGCCAGGATGGGACTGTTTATGCACATCCTCCTCCTCCTCCTCCTCCTCCTCCTCCTCCTCCTCATCCTCCTCCTCCTCCTCCTCCTCCTCCTCCTCCTCCTCCTCCTCCTCCTGAGGCAATGAGGCAATGACGGCAATGGAGTTTTCCGAACGCTGACGTTTTCCCCTTCCTATCTTTTTATAAGCCCAGGCGGGGGGAAAACCCGTCCCCCCCCCCCAAAACCGGACTCCCGGGATCTGGGGCTTTGGGACCCTCCAGACGGGCCTCGAAGCGGCCCCCGGGCCTCACATGGCGCTTTGCCAAGCCTTCCCAGAACCCCTAGGGCGATCAGGGGGGTCATCGGAGACGTCCCAGAGACCCCCAAGAGCGCTCCAAGAGTAAGAGTGACCGACGTGACCTCAAGATGGCCCAAGAGGCCTCCAGGACGGCCCCAAAGAGGCCTCCAAGAGCACTCCCAAGAAGGCCCCCCGAGGCAAAATGTATTGATTTTCTATTCGTTTATGGTGAATTTTAGGGTTCTCCTCTTTTCGGCTTCCCGACGCTCCAAGACGGCGGTCTTCTGGGCGTCCGAAGCCGCCTGGGAGGCTCCACAATCGCCCCACAACCATCCGAAAAGGTTTCCAGGCAGTCCAAGAGAGCCCCAAAACGGCACAACACGGGTCCAAGATGGCCCTCGGAGAGCCCCATGGCGGCCCAAGATGGCCCAAAGACACCCTCCGAAGAATTCCAAATCGTGATTCGGTCGTTCAGGGAGACCGCGGTTGGAGGCAGGGTGGCCCGAAGAAGCCCCCGGAGGCCCCCAGAATACGCCCAGGAGGTCTCCAGAACGCCTTAAGAAAGCCTGAAACAACTTTTGTGAGGCCCCTAGAGGCTCTCCAAGGAGGAGCCTCCGCAAAAAAGAGCTGAGGAGGATGGGGAGGATGCGCAGGGCATGGCGAAAATGAGGAAAAAGAAACATTGAGGAAGGAAAGCGAATAACATTATTATAGCGGCGATGCCAGAAAAGGCAACCAGGAGTTATCGCTAAGTTGTCGGCTTGACCTTCCTGCTATTCCGCCTGCATACCAAACTTCAAGGACCAAGGTGCATGGCGCGAAGCGCCACTGCAGCCTTGTTTATATATATATATATAAACAAAAAAAGAACGGCCCGCCTCTCACACCCTGCGTACCGCGGCCGCCAGGACCAAGGTGTGCCGGTGCTCCCCCGGCATGCCGCCTCGCACCTGCGACGCACGGCCACTGCACGCCGCGGCCGCCAGGCCCAAGTGCGCCAGTGCTCCCTTGGGATCCCGCCTGGCGCTCTCGGGTGGGGATCGCTCGGAGCAAAACGTGTGCTTCAATACGTCAATACGTTGGAGGCCTGGGGAACCAGCGAAGTCGATTCGAGGCGGGCGGAGGGTCTGAACTGGATGAACCTCGGGAAAAACGGTCAAGAAGGGGGGAGGAGCAAATCAGCTCAAGATCGGTCCCCAGATCCCTCTTGGGGTCCATCTGGTGCATTCTCTCTTCACGGATCCACTTTGGACGGTCTTGGGCTGAGGCCCGTAAACGGCCCTGGCCCCTCGGAGTCCGAAACAGGTCGAACCCAGAAGCTCGAACCTGCCCCCCCCCTCCCTGCTCGCTGGAACCAGTGCTGGGTCACCTCAGACCCCCAGCCGGCTTCAAGTTCCCAGATCCCCGACGTCATGATTTTCTTATGGCGTCGACCCCTGGAGGTCTCGACCCGTTCCCCCGGACCGGTCTTTCATCCGGAGTCGTTTTTTGACGGTCTCGAGGGCCGGTCAGGGGCTGAGGGCCCCCAGAGGCGGGAAATGGTGACAAACCTCCCGTCGGGGTTGCAGGCCGAGCTGGCCGGTGGCGGCGCCGCCCCTGCCGCCCGGCACCGCCCTGGGCTCGCGGCCGGCGCCCAGGCAGCGCAGCTCCAGCGACAGGCGCAGGCGGGCGGCGGACTGGCAGGCCCGGTCCACCAGCGCGACCTCTGAGCCAGAGGCCTCCTGGACCCAGACATGATCGCGTCGTGAAATCTTCAGGACGAAGGTTTTTCGTCGATTTCGGCCTCTCGAGGCCCTCGCCGGGCCGCAAGGCCGTGAACAAAAACGACTCAGGATGCAAAGCTGGCCCCAGGGAAAGGGTCGGGACTTCTGGGGACGCCATCCTGAAAAAATCGGGACGTCGCATGGCTGGGGATGGGGTCCGAGCAGATGGGGTCGGAGGGTCGCGCCGCATCGCCATTACCTCGGCGGTGCATCGGCGACGCCGGCGCGGGGAAACACAGTCTCTACATCGAGCCGCATCGCCGATGGTATCGGCGGTGCGGCGCGATCCTCCGACTCCATCTACTCGGACCCCATCTAGGAGGCCCAGATGACCGACGCCGCGCTGGCTCAGCTTGCAGCTTGCGTTCGCTGCCGTCGTTGGTCGTCGATGGGTGTCGTCGCCGCCGCCGTCGCCGTCGTTGCCATGGCCGCCGTCCCCAGACCTGACGCGTCTTGAGAAAACGGCAATCTGTTCGGCGTCTTCGCGACTGGAGGCCCTCGCCGGGCCTCAGGACCGTCCGGAAGTACGGTCGGGAACATGCGATTAGCGTGTCGCGGCGCTGGCCCGGGCGACACCGTTTGCCTTGCGAGCGGAAAGCGTGTTGCTCCGCTCCGCGGGGCGGGAGGGTCGAAAATGCTCCGACCGTTGACGCCTGGGGACCGGGCCGTGGATAGCGTGTCGCGCGCAGCAGCGTGGGCAAAAACCGGCGGCGCGACACGCTAAGCAAAAGTTCCCGACCGTAGCTTGCGGTCGCTGCCGCCGTCGGTCGTCGATGGCTGTCGTCGACGTCGCCGTCGGCGTCTTTGCCATCGGTGTCGCCGTCACCCCCAGACCTTCCGAGCATTGAGAAAGCGCACGGAAACTTTGCGTCGTCTTCGGCGTCTGGGAGCCCTCGCTGGGCCACAAGACCCTCAACACAGGAGATGAAACATAAACCAGCCCCCCAAAGTGATCCAGAGCTCTGGGTATGCTGTTTTCCAAATCCTGATGTCAGAGGTCTCGGTCGAAGCCGCTGTCTGTGGAGCTAAACGTGGAGCACGGGAGCAGTTTGGCGAATGGCGCATAGCATCATCGTCGTTGTCGTCCTCCTCCTCCTCCTCCTCCTCCTCCTCCTCCTCCTCCTCCTCCTCCTCGCACCCGTCGCCGCCGCCACGACGTCGCTTGTCGCCGCCGCCGTCGTCTCAACGCCGTCGTCGTCCCCCGAGGTCCGACGGGGTGAGCACGATCAGCGACATAGTGCAAAATCACGGCCCGGGAGTCGGATCAACCCGCGAGGGTCACGGGGGCCGAAACTGGGCAAAACATGACAGCTGGCCTTCCGCGGTGCCCGGACCTGAAGGCCGGGCAGCAAGAGGGGCGAGGACGCCACAAGCGTGGCAGGGGCCGAAGCCGCTGGCTGGGCGGGGGGCCACCAAAAGAGGGGCTCCTCGAGCGCGCCCCGAAAGACCCGACGAGGAACTGACCCGACTCCAGGGCTGTCTGGAAAGTCGCCCCGTCCTCCGGCTCCCATCACTGTGGCCCCAGCCTGCAGTGAAGACCTGCCCACGAGGCTCCAGCTGCTTCCTCCTCCGAGATGCTCGGTGGCCACACGCCGGCCCGAGGGCGGCCCCACGCAGTGGCGGAGCCAGAGCGGATCAGCACGCGCGCGAAGCGTCCCTGCCTCCTGTGCCCCAGAGCTCGGGCCGCTCGGGCCAGGGGAGAGGGTGGTTTGCCCTCGGGTCTCGGCGAGGGCATGGGGCGCAGCCCAGCAGGGCCTGGGCGTGGGGCCGGGACAGGAGAGCCGGCACAGCCTGCGCAGGGAAGTGCCTCGCGAGACGGAGCAAGCGCCGCGCCTGGGCCATGGGCTGCTTCAGCGGCCCCCCGCACGCCGCGGCGGGACGCACGCAGCTCCCAGACGCCCGGGGGTATGACGTCTGCTCCATGCGCGGTCCCAGCGACTCCGAAGGGTGAGGCTTGCAACGGTTGTGCTTTGCGACACGCGCATACGGAGGCGAGCGAGGATCTCGACGGAGATCTCTGCCGCGCCCCAACGAGGGCTCATCAAACCCCGCGCAATGTGGTGGCCCCCTAAAGTAGCCTAAGTCCCAAGGGCGCCGATCGCAAACCACAGCCCGGCATAAGCACACCCATTGTTGTCGACAACCAGAGGTTCCGACCTCTTCCCCAGGGCCAGTCTTTCGCCCTGCCTCCTCTTTGTGATGGCCCCGAAGCCCAAGCAGGACGACCTCCCGAGGCCGGAATCGAGGAAATACTTCCAGGCTCGGACGAACATGAGACCGACGAACATCTAGGGCTGGTCCACCATGGCGCGGCGGACCGAGCAGCAACCTCGCGGCACTTGCCGTGCACGCGGCCGCGTGAAGTGCGGTGGCCGGGTCGCGGCGGCGGTGGTCCGCTCCGGCGCGGAGGGGAGCGAGCTCCGAGGGGGCGGCGGCGCTTGGCTCACAGGGGGGGCGACGTGTGAGGAGCTCCGGGGCTTCGCTGGCCCACGCGGTGTCGGCACAAGAGCTCCTTGCGAGGGTGAGGCGGGAGAGGGAGCCGCTCGCCTGATATCATGGCCTCCGCCTCTGCGGATAAGAGCGAGGGGGCGGGGGGGTCGGCGGCGGCCTGCGAGGCTCGCTGGCAAGTTGGAAGCCGAGTGTCTCGCATTCCACAACGTGCCCGCCGCAGGCACTTCTTTTTCGCCGAAGTAGTGTGGATGAGTCGAGGGCGGGTCGCGTGTGGGCCGCAGATGGGTCGCGGACTGCGATTCACTGAGGTATGTGGGCACTCGCACGCAACATAGTGCACATATTTTGTGCAACGACTCACGCCCGCGAATCTACCACGAACAACGTACACTACACTGCCCGCGGTGTCGATTGCGACCATAGTCTCATGGCCATGCTCCCGCTTCCAAAGGCGAGTTGCCACAAGTGACGGCCTTGTGGGCGGTGCTCACAGTGCAATTCGCAGCCACGGTGGCGAATTCACCGCAGGCACCTGGACGCAGAAAAGGCAGAGCGCAACCACCACCAGAAGCAAAAGCTAGGCAATAATCCACCTGTTTTGCTGCATCCCCGCCCGAGACGTCTCCAATCTCCAGCCTGGGGAGGCATCTTGGACACCCTCGCTGGAGGTGACCCGCTGGTGGTGGTGGTGGACGTGGAGGTGCGCTCCCCGCCCTGGGAAAGTGATGAGGCCCCGCACCAGAATCTCTCGGATGCGTCTTGAGGGATCCCGTGGCTCCCGGGAACTTTCGGACGTGCCATGGCCATGGCCCCTGGGTTGAGGCGGAGGTCGGGGAGGGACCGGTTGGAACATCGATCTCCAGGAGGAGGAGGAGGAGGAGGAGGAGGAGGAGGAGGAGGAGGAGGAGGAGGAGGAGGAGGAGGAGGAGAGGTATGTGGCTCCGGTGGGGTGACATCGATCTGGAATCGGCGCGCGCAGTCAGATCGCTGGCAGGTCGGCGAGGGGGTCCCCCGACAGCAGAGCCCCACGCTCTGGCGGGGTGGGCCATCGGGCCGCGGGCCGCGGTGCGGGCACCCCGGGAACGCTCTCGACCCAGACCCCTTCGGGCAATGAAAAATTCATGACGGGAAAATTCTCCCAATTTTCGGCCTCTGGGGGCCCTTACCGGCCCTCGAGACCGTCAAAGAAGGTCTCAGAATGAAAAACCAATCCAGGGGAACGGGTCGAGACCTCCAGGGGTCGACGTAAGTAATGACAAAAATCATAACGTCGGGGGTCTGGGGACGAGGCGCAACTGCGGGAAGAAACCGCCGGGGACCCGCAGAAGTGCTGAAACACTTCGGACTCGGACCTCGAGCCGCGAGCCTCCCCTGGAGCCGATCCCCCCACAACGTTGCGGCATCCCGGCTGACACGCCGCGTGGGAAAGTCTTCCGGGACGCCGGAGAACTGGGACCGAGCGGCTGGACCTCCAGCCCAGCCTGCGTCCACAGGACGCAGGTCGCTTGCGCCCCGGAGTAGAAGTCCAAAGGGCCGGCGTCGCCGACAAGCAAGAACAACACTGGCCAGGAGTGACCTTCGATACGCGGCTTTAGGGGGGCCGCGGGGGAGGGGGGGCGACACCCAAGAGCGCAAGCCACTGCCGGGGGGACCACTCTGGGCCCGCACCGGAGGGCACTCCGGCGAAGGGTCACCCACGTGAGTGACCAAAACATCGAGCGCCCACAAAGATATCGACACAGTGCCGAACGAGTGTCGCCTCCCAACCCTCAAACTTCGGTACTTTTCTGGTGCGCGAAATTCTTGCCGGTGGTGCAAACTGAAAACGTAGGCTCGAACCTCACATGACCAGCGGCTCTTCGGAGTGTTTCTGGGTCTCTGCGGCGGCCCGTGCTGGGCCGAGGGGCCCACGATAGACGGGGCCCGTGGCCCACGGTGCGAGGCCCTCTCCGGAGGCGTCGGAGCCTCCAGGCCTGCGGCGGCCCGCCCCTGGCATGGAAGCGGCAGGGCTCTCGGATGTCGGGCCCGACGAACGGGGGGGGATAGGGAAAGGGGGGGGTACGAAATCTGCTGCATGCAACCGGTTTCGGCCCCACCGAGGGGCCCACGGTGCGGGGCCCTCTCCGGAGGCGTAGGAGCCTCCCGGCCTGAGGCGGCCCGCCCTTGCATTGAAGCAGCAGGGCTCTCGGATACTGCGGCAGGTCCTCGGGACGCAAGCCGAGCACGTGATAGCGTTCTGCTGCTCCCATCGCACTTGAAGACCACGTCCCAGAGATGACGTTAAGCACCCGTGCAAGCATCGAAGCAGGGTCGGATGAGTATCGCCCCCCAGGGCTTGGCACGCGAGAACCCTCCAGGTTCGGTCTGCTCCTGGTGCGCGAGATTGTTTCTGGTAGCCAGGGCCAACGTAGGATAGAGCATCATGCCTTGAGCACGTAATAGCGGGGAGCTTCAGCTGGACAGGTGGGATCGGGCCTGCACCATGAGTGATACAGCGAGGCGACAGAGAGAGGCGAGACCGAGAGCAGGTCCGTGATGCTCTCGCAGGCGAAGTCGGCCACCTGGGGGTGGCAAGAGCGCCGTGATGTGCACCCGAAACTGCGACCGAGAGACCCTTTCCGCACGGTGTGACAAGCCGGCTCCGAGCTTCGCATCATATACGCCAGTGTGGGCATCCTGCTTGTGATTCATGTCCTCCTCATCACCTCAACACCATCCTCCCCCCCATACACAAACGTATTCATAGTGCGTCAAGAATACCCAGAGTCGCTCACACTGGGAATCACCCGTACTCAGGCTAACTAGTACTCAGATCAACTCATTTTCAGACTCACCCACACTTAGACTCACTCACACTCGGCCTTACGCATACGAATGCCCTCTCATACTCAGAAACGCCCAGATCTAGCTGCTGTCATGCTCAGACACACTCGTACTTAAACTCAGACGTACTGAGAACGTCATTCGAACTCGGACCATCTCATTATCAACTTCTACTCACCACTCATCTCAGCGCGGTGCAGCAGGCATCGCACTTGTGAGTTCCAGGGATGCGAGGCGGGGATTTATCCATATCCACCGCCTGGGAACCCGCGTCCTGGTGTCCCAGCGGGCGGTGGATATGGATCGGAGGTTGGGGGGTGATATCGCAGTGAAACGGAGGCCCCCCACCGGGAAATCGGTTTCGGTTTCGTGTTCGTGTCGTGCGTGCGGGCGAGGCGAAGCTGCGCATGATCCTCCTGTAGCTCGGCCGAAGTAGGAGCGAAAGTCCGTGCGCCCGTCCGCCGGTGGCTGGGACTGGGCCCGCGGTGTCCCGCCGGTGTCCCGTGGTGTCCCGTGGTGTCCCGTCCGCCGGTGGCTGGGGCTGGGCCCGCGGTGTCCCGGCGGTGTCCCGGCGGTGTCCCGTGGTGTCCCGTTGGGTGAGATCGATCGTGAGATCGATCGTGATATCGATAGTGAGATCGATACTGAGATCGATGTGGTGCCCCGAGGTGTCCCGTGGTGTCCCGTTGCGTGAAATCGATAGTGAGATCGATAGTGAGATCGACAGGTGTCCCGTGGTGTCACGTGGTGTCCCGTTGAGTGAGATCGATCGTGAGATCGATCGTGAGATCGATGTGGTGCCCCGAGGTGTCCCGTGGTGTCCCGCTGAGTGAGATCGATAGTGAGATCGATAGTGAGATCGATAGTGAGATCGACAGGTGACCCGAGGTGTCCCGTGGTGTCCCGTTGAGTGAGATCGATAGTGAGATCGATCGTGAGATCGATAGTGAGATCGATGTAGTGTCCCGCGGAGTCCCGTGGTGTCCCGTTGTTGCCCGTGGTGTCCTGTGGTGTCCCGTTGAGTGAGATCGATAGTGAGATCGATACTGAGATCGACAAGTGTCCCGTGGTGTCCAGTGGTGTCCCGCTGAGTGAGATCGATAGTGAGATCGGTCGAGTCAGATGTTGGTTCCCCCCCCCTCTCCCCCCCACACAATCTCCTTATCACCCGAAGGGTGGTCGTATAGGTATAGTATGGCCCCCAGGGGCTCGAATATGTCCATATCCACCGCCTGTGGATCGACCCCCCAGGCGGTGGTTATGGATGAATTCCCACCTCGGACAGGGAGTAGCTAGGGCTCCCAACTTCGCGCTTCGCGCTGCGCGAAGCGCGAAGCGCGAATAACTTCGCGCCCTCGCGCCGCCGTCCCAAAGGGAGAATAGGAGGACGAGGAGGAGGGGGAGAAGGAACGAGGACCGCGAAGCGCGAAGCGCGAATAACTTCGCGCCCTCGAGGGAGCCCTTGGAGTAGCCGCAAGGGAGCACAACACGGGCCCGCTCGCGCCCAAATAATTGCCCAGACCTCTCAAACGGGACGCACGGTCTGGCCCAGCAGACGCGTCCGACTCTCCTGGGGAGTCTCGTGGGCACCGCGCCGCAGGCGTCGCGCCTGGTCCTCCCCCGCCGGGGGGCCCACGCCGGGGTGTACGACACGGGCCTCTCGGGGCAGAACGCCCGTCCTGACCCCGCGGTCGCGTCTGTCCTGGGCCTCCCGTGCATGCCCACGGCGATGCAGCAGGCATCGCGCTCGGGCCTCCCAGGGGGGGGGGGGGGGAGGGCACCAGGGAGAATGTAGCACAAGCCCAGTCGCGCTCAGACTGCCGGGACCTCTCGCCCAGAACGCTCGCATCGGCCCAGTGGGCGGCTCTGTTCTGAGAGCCCCGAGGCCACCGCGACGCCGCGACGCAGCAAGCATGGTACTCGGGCATCCCAGAGGGGAGCCGCGGAAGTGAATAACACGGGCCCCTGGTGGGAACTCTCAAGTGGATCGGCTGGTTGCGGAAGCAGCCGTGTCTCTTCCCAGAGCTTAATTATTACCATGAAGTCGCAGGAATTATATTCGGGCCTGCCTGAGACCTACGAGGAGCCGCCAGGTCCGCTATGACGTCCGGTGATAGAGAAAAAAGCAGCGCAATGGTAAGTGATGGGAGGGAGGGGAGGACGTCAGAGATGACGCGAGCGGACCTAGCTTGCTTTATCATCCTCTCCCTTCTACCTCATGCTCTTCCTCCACACCGTTACAAGGCCCTGGCGCCATCAAACATGCATCTGGTGCGAGAGAACTTACCGCGGGAAAAGTGTCAGGGGTCAGGGCCTCTGGGTCCGCGCATTGAACAATTCATGTCCTCGGACGCCTGGGAATCGCAACGCCCAAGTTCCTTCAAAATCTGCCCCTGGACACGACCCGGCTCGCGACCTGGCTAGGGTTGCGAAGCGCATAATTGCTGCCATGCGACGCAGGTACTCTCAGGGCCCCCTCCCCGAACAAATATCTGCCTGGCGAAGGACTCAACCATGTGCAGCTGTGAATAGCGCAAGTGTGAGTATTGTCTTCGGTGGAGCTCCGTACAGGGCCACGAAAAGTGTAAGGAATGTGTCGAAATTGGCGCGGTGAGCGAGTGCGAACGCAGCCATTGGGATCTTCAGTGAAGTTCCCTATGTGGCCACGAAGCGTGTGAGGAGTATGCGGAAATGAATGGGGCGGGCGCATGCGAACTTAGCCACTGGGCCTTCGGTGGAGCTCCCTATGGGGCCGCGAAGCGTGTGATTGTGGCAGCAGCAAGATCCCGATATGCTTTTTGGCTTGAGCCAAAAGTGAATACGGAACGCCTCTCCACATGCTAAACCTATACACTGAAAACTGGAGCACTTCCACATGCCCCAAACTTTCTAGTAGGTTTAGCCGCCCTCTTGTGGTCGGCGTTCCTCCCTGGGTGAAACCACAAACTGGTCAGGTGAAAACGTCGGCCTATTGGAATTGACTGTAACAGCAAGAGACGGCCGGCGCTGAGGAGGAGGTTGGGGGAGAGAGGCGGAGGGAGGAGAAACCAACACCACCACCACCACCTGTCCAGGGACCTGGGACTCGGGTACTGTACTCTCTCCAGGAGGTCAGACTGCTGGCATTCCTGAACTCCCTCTTGGATGCTGCCTGGGATCGGCACTTCAGACCGGGATCTGCCCTGCGACGCTCCACTTCTGAACTTTCATCGATTAACACCAACCGGCCACTGATCATGAGGTCGAATAAAGCCGCGTTACACTTCCCCACGTCGTCCTTCGTGAGGGCGTCCACGGGCATGCGCCCGTGTGGGATCCATCTGACGTGTCCTCCGGCTTGCTCTAGAGCCTCGCAGATGATCGCAAGGTCGATTGCCGTCCTCCTATCCTTGGCGCTCGCGTTGCCCTCCTTGAGCATTGTGTCGTAGATTGATTTGGCATCAACTACGTGCACTTGGGCTTCCCGGGACCCGAGGCGGCAGTCCCTACGCAGCACTGTCGTGAAGGGTCCAGAGGCACGGTGGTGATCTCGGACAGTCACGTCGCGGAAGGACACGTCACGGTACATGATCTGGAGATACTCCACTTCCGCCACAGCAGAGGACAGGGCCTGTGTCTCGCCGGCGAGCGTGGAAGGGACCTTCCGCCTGAGCTTTGAGCTCCTCCACCCAAGGATGGAGGCCCTCACGGAGTGGTTCTCGATGATACTCTTGTCGCATGCCAACACCATCCAGGCCCCCTGAGTGGGATCCTCAGGGAGGCCTTTTTCATCAAGAAGATCCTCCAGAGCTCCTACGCCTCCGGCGTCCGAAAAGGATACGAAGGCCATATGTTCAGGATCGAGTTTCCATATAATCAGCCCCCGTGACGCCGACGATCTGAGATGCCTCACTAACTTGTTCGCCAGGGTAATATCTCCAGTCGTGGGAGCTTTCAGACGACTGGCTAGGATACTTGCTACTCCGGCTGCCTCTGGTCGTGCTTCTCTGCCGATCCAGTTAAATTTGTACACAAGAGAGCGCAAGTCCTTAAATTCTTGAGTCTCCAGTGGGGACCTGCGGTCAGTCAGCCGGCCCTTGGCCACGGAGATGGGTCTGATCTCCTCCAGGATATATTTCTCCATGTCGATGGTTGCTCGCCGAGGTCCCATGGTAATTCGGCGGCCCGCAAAATCCACAGCTCCGGCCTGGCAGTCACGGTACTTACCAAACTTAAAGCGGGACTCCAAGGTCTGACGCAACCACGTACGGGAGGCCTCTGTGGCGCTCCCGATGAGGAAGTCGTCTACTTCTAGCAACATCATATTCAGAATCTCGCCGGACTTGCCGTATCGGACCCACCAGCACGGTTCCAGGAGGGACCGACTGAAGCCGTGTTGTTCCAGAAAGGCCACCACCGTACGTCGCCAGGCTACCGGAGCATCGTCCAGACCGTACACATTGACACGGAGTCGGATGAGGGAGCCGTTCGGGAGGTTCACCCCTTCGCACGGCTCCACGTAGATTTCCCCCTGGGAGCGAGCCATCTGGTCCGACTGGCAGAATGCGTTCTTAACATCAGCAATGTCTGCGAGCATGCTGAAGTTCATCGCAATCTGAAGGAAGAGCATGATACTGGAGGTCTGGGGAGTGGGGGCGTACACTTGAAGGGATCCTGAGTCCGGGTCTTTGTGTCCGTGGACACACCACCGGGATTTTGCTACTGGCCTCTCGTTGGTTCCCTCCACCGGCTTCCATCG